CTGGAGAGCAACCAGTTTCATCTTGTCTATTCCTGAGTGCTGAAAGAGTTCTATCGGTCATTTTGCATAATGATCATTAAGCTAGGAGCCCAACCACTGTGGTGCACTTTGATGGATGGAAAATCATGTGAATCGATAGTTTGCTTTCTCTAATAGTCACTAGGTGAGACTAAAAGATATGGAATATAACGGAACTTGAAGGAGGGAAATCTATGATTGTCTTTTTTGATTTTTTCTCTTTCACATGTCCTAATGTACATTGGTCAAATTTTAAGTCTATTTATACTGGGTGACGATCGACGGTGGCATGAAAATCTGGGCTTCAGCAGGATTCGGACCGGTGAACAATGGCTTTCCAGCTGGGTGATCTATCAACTAAGCTGCGAGACTAGTCTGCTGACCAGATTTATATTTCACTTCAATCACCAAGGTTTTTGTCCGACTTCCATGTGAATTCGTAACGCGTGACTATCTCTTGATCGTACTCATATTGCCTGTCCAGTGAAGACTTCTCATCTCAGTCTCAGTCTACTTAAATTAGAGAGAGAGAGAGGGTGAGCATCGTGCAGTGAAACCGATAAAGTCTGTTTTGTTGTGAACATGAATGATTAGAGATGAGAAAAAGCGTTTCCATATCGTTTGAAATGGTAATTTCTCATCATGAGCGATGCAGCGATCTCCTACTGAATAAACATTGATTACTTCTAGAAGAACATGCCTAGAAGTAAGCAAGTTTTAGCATTAGAGAATCATTATGGCTGTGTTTATTGCCTCAGTCAAATATTTCGTTGTTAAGGTGTGAGAAATCAAGTTCCACATTACTATACCCTGTACTTTATTCCTCGGGATCCTTAACAACTTTAATGTATTTGTTTATCATGAAGGTGTTGACATCCCTTATGAGTTCAATCGACGCTTAAGTTTCTTTGCAAACTAAATCCATTGCTGGTTAATAATAATAATAATAATAATAATAATAATAATAATAATAATAGCTTTGTTCCAAACAATATGCCTGATACAGTATGGAACTCTCAGTATGTGTGGTATTTCAGAGGATTCACCCCGAACAACAATATTTTGAAAAGAATGACCATTGAATATGAATAGTGTTGATAGTGATAGTAGTTTAAAGGTAGTACTGTGAAACAGCCAGCCGGTGTTGGATTAGCGTCTGGTCTATAATATAGAATAAACAAGAACTCGAACGAAAGTTTCATGGTGATTGTACAGGTTCATTCAGTCAGTTCAAGAAACTGCTATTCGGGATAAGTATCTGAGGAATACAAATATGATGTATTTTTGTGCATTCAAAACAGTCAATTTCCATCTAACTTGATATATTTTTTCTTCGTTTTATTATTAATTCTAGAAATGGATATTTCAGAGCATTTTAAAAAGTGTCCAGGATTATATGTTACTTTCGAAGGGCATGTTTAAAAGATTAAGAACAACTGGAAGAGAAGAATTTGATGTAATATGTCGAGTAGAATATTTTTGATGGCCCAAGGTTTATGCCAAACCTTTATCCGCCTCATTCAACAACTATATGAAGATGCCACATGCCAAGTAATCCACAATGGGAAGCTCAATGATGCCTTTGAAGTGAAGACAGGAGTGAAACAAGATTGCCTACTATCCCCATGATATTCCTTATTGTGGTGGACTGGATCATGCAGCAAACAGTAGGCAGCGAGAAAAGGGGGATACACTGGACGACGGAAAAGAACCTAGAAGACTTGGATTTCGCCGATGACTTGTGCCTAATGTCACATAAACTTGAAGATCTGCAGGCAAAAACTAACAAGTTGACAGAAGAGGCAGCTAAGACGGGACTTCAGGTGAATATAGAGAAGACAGAAGTGATGAAGATACCGCACCACCACCATCAACAACAACAACAAACTCCAATCACCGTCAACGGGAGAAACTTGAAGGAAGTAACCTCCTTCACTTATCTAGGAAGCACTGTTTCAACTACAGGCGGGACGGACGAGGACGTCAAAGTCAGAATCGGAAAAGCAAGACAGGCGTTCATTAGCCTGAAACCAGTGTGGAGATCTTCTGCACTCAGCATGCGGAACAAGATACGGATTTTCAACACCAACGTCAAGTCAGTGCTCTTGTATGGCTCAGAGACTTGGCGCGTCACGAAAGGCATTTCCAATAAACTACAGACATTCATCAACAACTGCTTACGCTCGCTGCTGAAGATCAGATGGCCAGAAAAAATAAGCAACAAGGAACTCTGGAACGAACCAACCAAGAACCTATCACGCAACAAATATGCAGGAGGAAGTGGAGATGGATTGGCCATGCACTGAGAAGGCCGACTGGGGACATCACGCGTCAGGCCAGTTACTCGAGTGGAATCCCCATGGGAAGCGACGAGTTGGACGCCTGAGGGTGACATGGAGGAGGTCGTGTGAGGAGGAAATGAGAGCTTCTGGGCTGTCGTGGGACCAGGTTCAAAAGATCTCAGAGAACAGAGTTCACTGGAGGCGTGCTACTGAAGCCCTATGTTCCACTAGGAACCCAAGGGACTAATAATAATAATAATAATAAGGTTTATGCCATTATATCAAATAACCAGGTTGCTATCTAGGAATAGATCAACACAGACGAAACCAATAAAAGATAGTCAAGGAAACTTAGTTACCAAAGAGGAGAAACAAAGAAAACGATGAGCTGACCACTTAAAAAAACTTTTGAATCAAACACCACGACCACCTGCAACTCGTCCAGAAATATCACCAGCAGCCCAGACACAGAATTACCAGTGAACAAAAGCCCTCTGACAAAAGCAGAAGTAAAGTCCTGAGTGCCATAAAGTCGCTGAAATCCAGGAAAGCAGGAAGACTAGATGGAATTCCTCCAGAAGCACTGAAAACAGACGCAGAGACAACAGTGGACATGCTCACACCACTATTGCAGAAGGTTTGCAAGGAAGGAAGGAAGAAACGAAAGGTACCTACTGATTGATTAGAAGAGGGGCTACCTGGTCAAACTCCCAAAGAAAGGAGACCTAAGTCTTTGCAAGAACTGGCGCCGAATCATATCCCACCACTGCCCACCCAACGCAAGCAAACTGTTAAACTGCATCATCGTGGAGAGACTAAAGGATGCGTTGGATTCAAAGTTACGACCGAAACAGGCTGGCTGGCTGGCTTTAGGAAGAACAAATCATAAGCGGATCAAATTGCAGTGCCACGCTACGCTACACATCATCATAGAACAGAGTATAGAATGGCAGTCAACTCTCTACCTAACCTCAACTTCATTGACTTTGAAAAGTCTTTGCTTCGACAGCGTCGACCGAGAAGTAATTAGGCAGGTAGCTGCTTCAACACTACGGTTTTATTGCTACTAACCTTTATCAACCTCATTTAACAGCTATATGATGATTATGATGCTACATGCGAAGTGATTCACACTGGAAAGCTCAGTGACGCCTTTGAAGTGAAGACAGGAGCAAGAAAAGGCTGCCGCCTACTACCACCGATGATCTTCCTGATTTTGGTCGACGGGACTGGACTGGACTGGATCATGCAGCAGACAACTGCGAGAAGATGGGCATACGCCGACTGGACCGATGGAGAGGCCCTGGAAGATTTGGATTTCTTCGGTGATGATTCATGTTTAGTGTCTTGTTGTACAAACTCGAGGATCTGCAGGCGAAAACTAACAAGCTGGCAGAAGAGGCGAGGCGAGGCAGCGAAGGAAGACGGAACATCCTTCAGGTGAACGTAGAGAAGATAGATGTGATGAAGACACTCAACCACCAATAACAACAACAACAGGCACCATCAGTGGGAGAAACCTAAGGGAAGTAGTCTCTTTCACCTACCTACCTACCTACTAAGGCAGCATCGTTTCAACTACAGGAGGCGGTACAGATGAGGATGTCAAAGCAGCCAGTATCGGAAAAGCAAAACAGGCCTTCAGTTAGTAATCTGAAATAATCAGTGTGGAGATCTACTGCACTCAGCATAAAGCGTGAACAAGATCCGGATTTTCAACGGTAATACCAGTCAACTCAGTGCTTCTATATGATGGTTGAGAGGCTTGGTGCGTTACGAAAGGCATTTTCGACAGATTGTAAACATATATGAACAGCTGCCACCTACGCTCGCTCGATACTGAAGATCAGGTGGCGAGAATGATAAGAACAAGCAACAAGGGGCTCTGGCTGGTTGGCAACGTACCAACCAAAAAGCTAGGGCCCAAAAATATGTAGAACAAAGTGGGGATGGATTGGATTGGATACACACTGAGAAGACAGTTTAGAGACATCACTCACCAGGCCGGGCCGTGGAGTGGAAGCTAAGTGGGAAACGACGAGTTGGGCATCCGAGGCTGACATGGTGTAAATCAGGTGAAGAAGAAATGAAAGCTTGTGAGCAGTCGTGGAGCGAGGTTGAAAAGACTACAGAGAAGAGAGTGAAATGGTAATGTGCTACTGAAGCCCTATGTTCCACTAGTAACCCAATGGACAAATAATAAATGATAATAATAAGATTCATGTAGGCCACCGTATCCAATACTGTTCATTGGTTCAATACTTTGTACAAGATATGCATGTAGATTTACGAGGAAAGACGGTGTTAAAATTGACTACAGATCTCAACAGAAATATTATTTATTTAATACTAGAATGAAATAGTCATTCGTCAATCTCTTCATAGTCTTGTCAAGTCAGTATTCATCACAGAATGACATTAGTTGGAGAACCATAGAAGATTTAGGAACACTGGAGAGCTGTTTCGTCCTAGTATGAGACTCCTCAGCAGTAAGTACCCATCACCCCGCCAGAGATTGAACTCAGGATCTCTACGCCTCATGGTGAACGCACTAACCATTAAGCTATTCGGCTGGAGTTCAATGATCTACAGTCTTCTACTTTTATCAATTCACGATAAAGCCATGATGAATACTACCTTGAAATAAACCTTAAGCCGTATATATGTATATATTTTGTCAATTACTATGTTTATTTACAGATCAGGAGATAGTAATAATGTCCTAGACAATCTACTCTCTCGTATGGAACAATATGCAAATAATTTAGAAGAATTAGTTGAACAACGTACAGCACAATATTTAGAAGAGAAGAAGAAAACTGAAGATTTATTATATTCAATGTTACCAAGGTAAGTAATGATAAGATTTGATGTGTACATTTGTGTACTCATTCATACTTCTGGTGGATATATAATTGAATTTATGCATATTAGATATTGAGAGTCAATTGATAGAAGAAATCCTGGACCTAAATTTTGGGCTTCTTAAGATTAATCACTAAGATGTATTTTCAACCATGAGGAAATTGGTGTGATTTTAACCCTGTGTCACTCAGTGCTGTTAACGTCGGAGACTTAAACATTACAAATATTGACATTTTTATGCATTCTAAATATGTTTAAATCGGATTTTACAGCTAAAGATACGATATGGCTACATATTTCTCATTGCTGTGCTCAGTTACAACTATCTACTCACTTTCTTACGAATTTGTTACCATTCGATTTCAACTCACATTTACTTATACTATCAAATATTTTAATATTTCTGACGTCATTTTCATTTCTGTATTATTTTAATGACAACAAACTAATAACAATTATCAGAATGTATTACTATTACTATTAGTATGCGCAAATTGTTCTCTACAGATCACTGAAGAATTTAGAAGTCGCTGAACATATTCAAAAGTAATCGCATCTAGCTAGAATTTTTCAGATATTCACAGAACTATAAATATGAATCTGTGAAGTCAATAGCTTTAGCGATGAGCTCTATCCTAAACGAGCGAAATGGCTATCCAGTTCTTCGATCACTCTAATCTGCTTGATGAAATCTGTAGATTATCCTGTGTGACTTTCATCTACTCAAGTTGTTTGTTAGTAGTATATTTCGATAGTTCATGATAGCTTTGCGTCAGACATGACACATTACGAACTTAGCTACGGGTTGGTTTCTAACGGAAACCTTGTTGAGTGGCGCCACAGTTGGGCAATTGAAAAGCTACTCAGCTGTAAGAAATATCGACATGGACTGTTCAATCTGTAAATCATTTACAAATTGACCATCAATGGATTTAAGACTTGTTTGGAACTCGTTTGGAACTCATCAAGGCTGCTTGTAGATATGTAAATACTAAAGTATTTGTGTAACAACTAGCCGTAGGCAGGTCTCCGTGTAGCATGTATGTACGGTTTTCCAGGGGGGGGGAGGGGGGGTGCGTAGGAGAGTAAACGTCTTCACTGCTCTCCTCGGTGCTTAAGTTCTTCACCTAGGTAAACTAGAAGTTAGGCATGGTGTGTGCGGCTGGTTCGAATCACAATTGAGAGGATGGCTGCTTTTGAGTGTTAACCATGAGGGGTCTAAATCCCACCTCCAACACCAGATTGTAACGACCAGCTGTTAGCAGGTTTTTGTCTAACCTAAAGGTAGGTACGCTGTTGCAAGTGGGCGCGTAGAAGAATGTCAGTTTGCATTTTTACATACATGAACGTTCTCATAAAACTTCCATAGATTATTCCACTATTTCTGTTACCGTGAAACCGGATAAAAGGATAGTATGACCGAAGGTTATTGTACAAGTGTTCAACTTAATAAATATATCACCATGAAATTATATAAATTACTTACAGATATTTTATTCAAGATAAACCAATGGATGTAATGTAATGTCTTTCTTTTTTTGGAAAAATCTCTGTCAACAGATCTGTAGCTAAACAGTTATTCCGAAATCAACCAGTCACTGCAGAAAGTTTCGAAATGGTTACAATCTATTTCAGTGATATCGTAGGATTCACATCGCTTTCAGCTGAATCTACACCGATGCAGGTATGTAAAATACGATTTATTGAAGAGTCTTTTTGGTTGATAATTTTGCAATGATATTATAAGATAGTTGTATTCATCTTATCTTGGACTCGTCAGCCGGATGTACCTGCACCCCGTTGAGGAGTGACTCTAACCCAGTAACTATTGCTCCAAACTCCAAAGCGTTATTCCCTAGGCTACTGGGGCAAGATAGCCACCACTTATGTAACAGGTATCACTTGTTGTTGTTTGTTACTTGTAATTTCCCGCTGGTATCGAGAGTCGAATCCCTCCACCTTAGTTGAGCGAAATGCATGTTCTGGATTCTACTGTGAGTTACCGAGTATCCGGTTATATCGAGGTATCCACATAGGAGGCCATCTGCCAACAGAGGTCGAACAGTTCGACCTTGTATAGGAACGGGAAATTACAAGTATCGAACAACAGTATGTGATAGTTTCATGGTTTTCGTATTCCTTAGTTCGCATGAGTCTATAACAAACTTACCACATGTATTCAAAACGACTTGGTACAACACATCTGCTTATGCATTCACTTCCCACTGGACAGTTGAAATTGGAGGTTTATATCAACTAAAGTAGTTGACACCATTTTTATGCGTATTTGCTAATTGTTTGGATATCTGATCGTAACATCAGTTGGTTCCATCTACTCTTACTATTACTACTTCCGGGTTGCTACCTTCTGATTCGGTCGTTCTGTCAATATCATCACGCCAGCTGACTAACAAAGAAGACAAGGGTATACTGCTAGTTCTCGAAGATTATAATATATTTTACAAAATCCATAGCGAAGGCGTAAGGTCCAGAAAACATAAACTGCCCGATCGAATGTCAGTGAATACGAACAAAAAGCAAGAAGAATAAGATCATTCGTTATTGATTGGTTGTGTAGTGATATAAGTGTTGGTTAAGGTAAGCACAAGATACAGGAAGATCCAGAAAACATCTGACTGACAATGTTTCACTCCTACCGGTTGGTAAGGTTAGTAACTTTCTCCTAGTAACAAATAATCATGGGTTACAAAAATAGATGCGGCTAACGTAAAGCGTCTAGGAGTTTAGATCAAGTCTGTTAAGAATCGCATGGTTTGAGAAGGTTACAAGCTTTTAATGAAAAGCGACTCAGTAGCAATAACTGTGTGTGGTGAGACTAAGGAGGGAAAAGTGTGAGGTTAGGTGTAGATTCTTAGATCAGGAAGGTGAATTAATAGATGAAGTTGTGAAAATTTACCAGCTGAGGTGGCTGGAACATTTCTTGTTTGTGCTAAACAATCATCTCTGTTATGCGACTGTGAGACATGATGATTAAAAGTAGAAGAAATGAAGCGGTTATAGGTTTTTGATTACACGTGTCTTCGTAGCATTGCTTACGTTTAGCGGGATCATTGTGTGAACAGTGTTGAGGTAAGGCGAAGGGTACTAGGCAAAACAAGCGAGTCGATTAATGAGGTTGTGAAACTGAGTCGACTGAGATATCTTGGATATGTAGTGTACAAACCGATCCACTACCTACCTCGGCGTGCAATGCAGGGTAAGTTGGATTAGATTAGAGAAGGACTCACGGTGGCCAGACGAAAACATGTAACCAGTCAATGAAGTTCCTGACTGTTGGTCTGAGCTGTATGAGGAAACGTACAGTATCTGGTCGTGTCTCCGATGAGATAGGGATCAGCGGTTGAGAACCTACCGTTGGTGATATGGCTGAAAATCAGTGATAATGCCACAGATGTATTCACTCCTTGATATCTTCTAAAGCTTGAATATTTGCACTAACCCTTATCTTCAGATTGTTTATTCTTTCACACTACTTTATCTACTTTGATATCAGTGATTTTCTATTCACCTATTCTTTGTGTACTTCTGTGGTGAAGTGTTACAACTTTAGCTGATGATGCATCAGCTCTGCAAGGTTCCACGTTGATTTTGTCAATTAGTCTATGCAACCACCAACTAGTTCAACATATGTTAACCGAATAAGATGAAGATGTCGGTAGCTTGATTGGCGTCTTCAAGATGATAGAAGTCAATAGATGAAGACTCTTAGTGATATGGTTTGAAATTGGTCATTAGTGGTATACATGTACACATTCTTTTTTATACTTAAGATTCAGAAAGTTCTTTTTATTCTTTTTTTCACTTCTGTTTTATTCTTTTTCTACTCATTTCTTAAAATTGTGTAAAAAGTGTAGCAGCTGAAATTGATCCACTTCTATTCAGGCATCTATTTCGATTTGTTTGTCCTTTCGATCCAAGGATATTGATTATTTTTAAAATCGGTAACTTTTGGTTGGATCATATTAGCATAGGTATGCTACTAAGAGTGAGTGATTCAGGTAGAATGATTGGATAACTGACCAGAGATTCCCAAGGTCCATCATCATGTTGGATGAACTTGTCAGGAATTTTTACTATTCCCTGCTCCTCATTCTTTTTCTACTGTGTTAAGATGACACCTTCTTTCTTCGATCTCTTAAAACTTCTTATGTATAAAGATTCCCTGATTGATCTACAATGCCTACTAGATGAAGATGATAACAAATTTTCAGAAAATCTAAACTGAAATTGAATATTTGGTACGCTTTTCATCCTTTCGTGGTGTAAAACGTTCCCTCGGGATTGGTTTAACCTGATATCCAGTTTCTGTGTGAAGAGTCAAGCACTTGGGGGTATATTAGGCAATTCACTTACCTGAGAAGTATAAGCGCCGAATGTTATGTAGAATACTGCTCCGTGTTGCACTATGAGACTAATCGTCAAGCTTTCATTGTCTTTCTGGGCAACGTCATCTTCACTAATGTCAATATGACTTCATACTGAAGAAGACACGTACTACCAAAATCACCCATTTAAGCGACAAATATCCCCCATTGTTTCATCTGCCTCAGAAGTCAGATCGACCCTGGTAGGTCAGTGACCGACGAAATCTCTTCACAAATACAAAAAGTTACATTGAATTTCCTCAACTAAATCCACTCATGCCACCACTGTGATATCCAGTTGTCGATTAAGGATCAAGTGTACTGTGTTGCACTTCACTCGATCCTAATACATCACTGTGAAAAATGGTCATTAAAAGTAGAGGAAATAAGAAGATTTCAGGTGTTTGACCACCGTCGTCACCTTTGTAGCATAGACAGTGTGTTGTGAGTAACGTAGAAGTCAGGTGTAGAGTGAGCGTTTTAGGGAGAAGAGAAGAGGAGAGTCAGTTGGTGTGGTTGTGAGCATTCATCGAGTCAGATGGTTGACACATGTGTCACGCATGTCTAGTCACCCATCTACCTCGTCATACACAATATTAGCTGAAGTAGGTTTAGGATGGAAAAGGGCTTGAGGTAGCCAGACTCGAACATGTCATCACTGCATGGAGTCTGTGACTGTTCGTCTGAGCTATGTACGGAGATGCAGACTAGTAGGTTGAGGTGCATGTGATAACAGAAACCGGTGGTGATGGTGGTTGTGGTGGTGGTTGGAGACTGTAATCGATATGGCTCAGAATCGGTATCAGTGGCACAGATGGTATCCACGCATTATCTTCGCTATACTGAGTTGAGGATTTTCTCCTTCCTCCTTCCCACTTCCTCTTTATTACTACCTTCTTCTGGTTTTCATCGATTCTTCTTTACATATTTTTTAACTGTTCATCTAATTGCTTTGTTACTTGATGTGCTGAAATGATGTGTGACAAGTTGAACCGTTAAGCAGTAATGCCTTGACCTATGTTGTTGTCTGTTGTCCTGTTTTCTTCAGTTTCTCATGCCATCAGACCGGCTAACGTGACACAGTGGCCCGCTGTCCGATAACGTTGCCAATGGTCCTAGGTTCAAGTTCCAGTGGTTGTAACGTCACTCACTAGGATGTTGGTGCGTCCGGCTGACAAGTCCCAAGCAGAGTGGGGTGCAAGTGCAGGACTACACCGCTCGCCGATATGGACCACTAATTGTTTCATTGTCGTTAGGGTTTAGTCCGACGTCTTTGTCATTAAATTTGTTTTGTGAAGGAGACAGAAAAGTTGGGATCATAATTGTTAGATGGATCGATTTATAGTAGGAGGAGAAAATTTAAAAGGTTCAAATCCTAAAGTCCGATGCCTATTTTTCTTCGTCTCCTTAACCAGTATATAATTTTCAACTCTTTAATTTCCCTTCTTTTCCTTTCAAACGTCGCATGCATTGCTAGAATGAAAATAAGAGGGCATCTAGCATAACTAAGCATTAGATAAGAAAGACGTATAGCATTTCGCTACCCAACTTGTTGTGTAATATTTCCTCTTTCCTTTCCGCCTACACATCATTTTTTTTATTCTGAGTTTAAATAATTCACACAGATGAAATCATTCATGAATATTTTTTAAAAGGAAGTTTAACGGACTGTCTGTTCAAACAACTGAATTTTATATGTGATTACAACGCATCCTCTATGCATTTTTGCTTTCTCTCTTTTACATTCAAATTCCTCAAAATTAACCTCCAAGTGAGAGGAGAACTAACTAAAGCTTTCTTGCTAAAAAATTAGTCAATATTTTGAAAGTGTAACTGATAAATGGGCATTAAGGTGATCAAAATGAATAGTTGGCTGCATCAACATTTCACGAATACGGTCATTAAAATGGAATTATTAATGTAGTCTATTTAATTTTGCTACTTATTAGTAGTAAAGTTTGTGAATCTAAAATAATTTCGTTTTCTTGAACATCTATGAAATAGGTAGGAATTCGTTTTCAGAAATTTCGGCTGGATCAGCTGGAGATTAATTCTGTTCAATGAAATTGAATAACAACTGTTCAGTTCAAATAATAGCTTAGCTTATTCTTTATAAAAAGAAAATGGAGGGACGTTGTGTAATAGAATCCATGAGCCACCACAATTTCTTCAGCATATTTTCACTAATCCAACCGGCATTTGATTTTGGCTTATCTTTTAAGTTGCAGAGGCCAAGAGGTACATTTCATCCTGTTTTGAATTGTTTAGATGAATAGATCTGAATCCATTGGGAACGGAATCTGGCACTTATCTCTTCGAATGCAATGGACAGAGGGATTAAATAGATTGTTGAGTTACGCGTACTAAGAAGGATAAAACTCACATTGATTCTACTAATAGTCACCACCAAGCAAGTAATACCAGAATGTAACTCAGAAGGCATCGATGCTAAGAACCTAGATACCCACACAGGTTGACTGATTCTGTTTATTTAGTTAGGCTACACTGGCTACACAATAACCAAAGATATAAAACGGATAGCTGAGGTTATCCAGTCAATTAAATGCAACCATACAAGCGTGGGTATTAATATCACTGTAATGGACATAAAAATGACCAACGGACTCGAAATAACTCGTACAAACACCATATATGTGCCTAAATACCTAGTCCAATCTACTACTGGCACGTAAATTCATTACAGTTAGAATTCTAGCTTGATTTATAAAGAAACCGATTTAAAGTAGCTCTACCTTATAGTCATTGCCTAGTCATATTGATAATTTCCACATGTAAACTAAAATCATCAGTATTCCTAAAGTTAGGCTGTTTTGTTAGCAACAGAATTGTAAGGAATGGTCAGTTAGTATAATTCTATTATCATCGTCCTAGTATGGAACTCTTCAGAAGTGTGTACTCATGACCCTGACAGTGTTAAAAGTTTACTTATTTAGAGGTAGTATTCATCATGGACTGACATCAGTTGGGGAACCGTTGAAAATATGGGATCACTGGACAGCTGTTTCGTCCTAGTATGGGACCCCTTGGCAGTACGCACCCATGGCCCGGTTAGAGATCGAACCCAGGACCTTTAAGTTTCACGGAGAATGCGCTAACCACCCAGCCACTGCGTCGGTTCTCAGTGGTTCACAATCGCCAACTTCTGTCAACTCACGATATAGCGCTACTACCACCCAAGGTCTTCAGTTGGCATCCGCCTCACTTCCGACTGGTTGACCCTACAGGTCATGGCTTCTCACATATTTATTTGTTTATAAGTCGTTACTGTCTTTCTTTCCACGCTTTCAACATTTTCAATGAAATCTCTTTTCCTTCGTTCTTTTAAATTTACCTCCTACTTTTAATGAACTAAACTAGTTTTTTTCATCTTAGTGACTAGCAGCGGAATCCAGTACGCATGTTTCGTCCTATTCGATTCTCATCAAGTGAATGTATCTGTCTCCCAGTGACTAGTGTTGTTCCCACTTAGATTCGAAACTAGTAACCATAGCTTCACTTTTGTTATTTCTCGCTAATCATTTATTGAAAAAAGTCTCCAAATTCAGTTCAAGAACAAGTTTCATTTAACCATTGAAATAGTCTCATTACTTCATTAAAGTTAACGAATTAATAATTCAATGAAGAAAACTTTCTTTGCGATGAATTATTTTCAAAAGCTGTGCAATCGTATTTATAGTTACTATAAAAATATATGCCCATAGCGTGCTAACGGGTCACTAGAAGTTCATCAAAAATCGTTTATAAGATTACAATAAATCAGCACGATTTCTTAGAGAGATTATGATCAGTATGAGACTAGAGATTCGACCTAACCGTTTTAAGCGCAGAGGTTAGGACTGAACCGATGAATTGCCAAGGCTTCTGCTATATTCATGCGGCGAATCCGCACTCTCATAGAAGTGTCTGATTTGATTTTATAAGTGACTTTGAAGGAAAATTCTAATGGAGTAGGGTGAGCAGATTTAACCAAATGTTCGACAATCGACCCTTAGACAGAAACAGTCTGCTTTTTATGTGATTATATCGAGTTCAATAGACTTGAAACTGGAATTCCTAGACAATCTGTAAAGAAGATTCTCTTGACGTGTACTTTTAATGTACAGTTCAGATTTAATATTGAACTTTATTGAATAAAGAATGGGGTAGCAGTTGGTTCACCATTGGGTCCTCTCCTAGCTGATTGGTTCATAGCTAATCTGGGCAAGAGCAAACTACATTCATTTGTCGACCACCTCCAACTACATATGAGATACATGAATGACATTTTCATCATCTGTGGGCAGTATAATAACTTTGAAGCACTATACCACGGAAATTCCAAGAGTGTGACAAGTCAGTTAAATTTATTATGGAAACTGAAAGTTACTAAATTCCACTTCGTGGACTTTTTGTTGAGTAGAAGACATAATGGTTCCCTGAGAAGATCGATTTATAGGAATGAAACCTGGAATGAAAAATGTACCAATTTTGAAAGTTGGGTTCAACTAAGCAAGAAAAAAAGTTTAGTGCATTCACTATGTAGAAGAATGAGAGGGATTTGTACAAATGATGCTGTAAATGAGGGACTGGCAGTACTTCGAAGAGTGGTTGTCGAGAATAATTATCCTTCAGGATTCATAGAGAAGAATATGAAACCTAAACAATACCAAGAACAAAACCTGACGGTTCGAAAGCAGATACTGTTTGGGAGTATTAAATTTAAAAGAGATACAACGGTACTGAAGAAAATCTTTTTTGCCCGACTTCGGATTGTTTTCTCCAGTCAACAAATGATTGCGGAGTGTGTAAAGGATAAATTATCTCATTGGGCTACCTCCATGAGTCCTTATTAATTCAACTGTTCTTTTGGAAGTGGTTACATAGGTCACACAAAGCGTGTTTTATCCAAATGCAGCTCCGAAAACTATCCTGCGTAGCTGTCGAAAGGAGTGCGGAAAGAGGATTAACAGCTCAATTCTTCAGCATCTGGTTAAATCGGGTCACCCTACTCCACTGGAATCTTCCTTCAAAGTTATGTATAAGACCAAATCAAACATCTCAATGGGAGTGAAGATTTGACATCTGAACACAACAGAAGTCTTGGCAATTCATCGGTTAAGTCCTGATCTTTGTGCCTAAAAGGGTCAGTCGAATCTCTAGTCTCATCTTGATCATAATTTCCATAAGATATTTTATTCCATCAGTTATTGTGTGTTCACTTATTGTAATCCTATGAGCAGTTTTCCGGTGACCTTGGGTTGACTTTCTAGTCATTATCACTTTATGAGTTCACTGACCGTTTTTGATGACTTGGCATTGATCTATTGTCTATTAATGAATACACACTGTTGTTGTAACTATACATAAGAGTGTACAGCTTTTGAAAAAGATTCATCGAAAAGAAAATTTTCTTCACTGAGTTGTCTTTTGATAGTTTTTCAAGTTTAATTTTGTCACCTAGTGTAAACTTTTAGAATGATTTGAATATGTGATGAATAAGTTGTTGATTACATAATGCCGATGATATATATTCACCAGGATAACCTGTCACTGTACAGTTCAGTTACTAGATCTAATTGAGTAGGTTATTTCATGAGTTATAGTTATGGTTATGATGGATAGTGGCTAGTAGTGGAATCCAGGATGTGCATTTTGTCCTATTTGGGACTTGTCATCTGAATGTACCTGCCTCCTAGTGAGTGATGTTGTTCCCATCAGGACTTGAACTCGGGGCCCATTGCTTCCAACCCCAGAGTGTTATCTACTACAACACCAAGCCAGGATAGCCACTTGTTGTGCGACGGGTATAGTTTTTAGTATTATTGCTTGTATTATACCATCATTGATTGGACAGAAGTGGTCGATCTCTATTGGCATATGGGTTCCTGTACGGATGCCTCGATATTACCTGCGTTCTAATTATAGTCATGATGGATAGTGGCTGGCAATTATACTATTTCATGAGTTGTTTATACTGATGAAATGCAACTGTATTTTGCGTTACGGAGAGTAAGAAGCAGTCAGTAGGAAATCTTGGAACTGCCTTGTATATTGCTTCGCATGTGCTCAAGTGATATCGAGGAGACACTGGCTTCCAGTTTCCTCAATTACACCAGTGTAGGTTAGATACGGAATCCCAACATTCGCCACTGATTACTTAAAAGCAATAAAGCCACAGTTTCCTTTTTTTGTCACTAATTATTGTGTATTCTAATCGGAATATTTAAAAATCACAGACATGTACACGTCTGATAAATAAATAAATAAATTTTATTTATTTATTTCTCCTTTATTTTATTATGAAATAGGTTGTCGAGTTATTAAATCGACTGTATACACTATTCGATGGAATTATTGAGAATTTTGACGCCTATAAGGTGGAGACAATCGGTGATGCTTATATGGTTGCTTCAGGTTTACCCCAAAGAAATGGTAATAAGCATGCACGTGAAGTAGCCCGTATGTCTATTGCTTTTCTAAAGGCTATCTTTGAATTTCAAATTCCTCATAGACCTGAGAAACGTTTAGAGTTAAGAATTGGTATACATTCAGGTAAGTGAAATATACTTCAGCTATTCTATGTTGATATGTTGAATAACTAATTGGCATAGGAACATTTTAAAGAAGTATTTTTTATTGAGTCTGTACACCCTTCGTCAGAATAAGCTGTGCAGTTGTTGTGCTCAGCTGTCGACTTCATCAGTGTTGACGAGTTGTTGCATAACTGTCTATTTAGATAAGTGTATCGATAGGACAACAATGATTTATAGAATGGGACTGTCAGTTTTTTTGCGGTTGTGATAAGACTGTACCAAGCACATTGTACTTTATTCATATCTCTTATCATCTCATGTATTAATGGATACTGAATTATGATTGAAGGTGAAGTGGAAATCTAAGCCACCAAAGGATCCAAACCAGTAACGCCGAGGTTACCGGCTTGATGCTCTACCAACTGAGCTACATGACCGGACTGCTGACCAGATTTTTATTTCACTTCAATCACCAAGGATTTTGTCTGACTGCTGTGTAAATTCATGATGCGTTACTATCGCTTGATCGTGCTCACATTGGCTGCCTAGTCAAGATTTTTCATCCCAATCCAAATCAACCTGAATTTAAGAGAATGAGCTTCATATTGATTATCAGTCTGACTATCTGAGATAGCCATGGTTTGTTAGACTACGTGATGATTGAAGGTGAAATGAAAATCTACGCTATGGCAGGATTCGAACTAGTGAGCCCATCATGATTTTTTAAGAATTCCACTCAAAGAGACAGCTTACAAGGGTCTTCTGTTCTCCTTTGCCTTAATTATTTGTTTACTTGTTTTCCACAACAGTTTCAATCTGATACTAGCCTTGAGCTAATATGACTGGTATACAGGGAAGGCTTAATCAATTCATTTATATCATAACGATTCAGGTGTGAGATAGGAAATGACACGGATAAAATAGGTATTGATGTTAGTTGGATAGAGGTGATCGGCAAGAATCCTTACTTGATCTGGGTTTTGTGCTTTTCGGGACTCGTCAACAAGACGTATTTCCAACGTCGACAGAACTGATGTCCCACCTGAGACTTGAACCCACATCACTTGGTGTTGTAGTCGGTATTATGTTAGAAATTAAAATATTTCTACGAATAAATTTAGCTCTAAGCTTTACATGTAGATTACATCCTAAGACTTTGATAATAATCTACTGGTTACTCCAAGTATTAGGACAGCCTGATAAATTTCAGTCAAAATATGTACATAATTCCTACTATGTTTATTCACCTATTCAAAGCAAATCCATCTAATAACATATTCTTACAGGGTTAATTCAACATGTAAGGGAAAGTGATGATATTTAATCCTTGTACTTTATTTCTCTGTCCCTTTCTTTACTCTTTTCTAGGTCCAGTTTGTGCTGGAGTTGTTGGACAGAAAATGCCACGTTACTGTCTATTTGGTGATACTGTTAACACCTCTTCACGAATGGAAAGCAATGGTCTACGTAAGTTATACACCTTGTCTTCAATTGAGATATGCCTACATATTTACACGTTGTCGATTTTGTATCAGCTGAACTAACGGTACACCGGTCAAATACTACAATTCGATTTTGAGGTTTTTGGTGATTTATTGATTTCAGGTTGGTATTCATCATGTATAGACATCAGTTGGAGGAACATTGGAGACTTGGGAGCACTGGAGAGCTATTTCGTCCTAATATGAGACTCCTCAGAAGTGTGCGTCCATGACGCCACCCCGCCAGAGATCGAACCCAGGACCTTCAGGTCCCGTGGCCACCACTTTGCCATTGAGCCACTGTGTGGGAGCCCAGTGGTCTATATCTCCTACTTTCATAATTTGACGAAATAGTGCTATATTTGAAGAGATGAGACTTGGTTGCTTTAACGTTGGATCGCGAAAACCCGTACCACCGATATCAGAAGACCGTGGGGCAGGGAAGGGTATGCTATTTTTGGGGCTAACCTTTTCTTCCTACTGGGAAGGTGAGATCAGCATGAGACTGATGGTCATTCACGGGAAACACTTAACTGCTGTCACACTCCATCCATTCAGCAGTACAACTTCGCCCTAGGACCCCATCATAGTGTAGCAGTCTACATTTCAAAGGTAACTTTTTTTCATCTTATTACTGTCCAACAGACCTTTCTGGTATAGTAGGACCTCAAAGGAACAAGCGCCCGAACTAATGTAGCTCGTTCGGTCATTGCAATATCCAAGCCCGACCACCACGTCAAGGTAGCTATTAGTCGATCGAGTTTCTTTAAGAAGAAGAAGTACGCACCAGACTTTCATGAGAAACGTTGGAATTATTTTATTCCAAACACGTTGTGATCTACACAAATATAAACTATATCTAATGTCAATCCTTTACTTAGAGCCCAATATTTGCGATGCTAGTCAGTCAAATCTTGATCATATTTCATATCAATAAAACAAAGATTGTTCATCATATACCACACAGTTCATTCAAGCGGAAATGGTTTATATAAACTGGGTATTGTATCAGAATACAATATTGCTAGGCATTATAGTTTATGCACGACTAAACCAAATAAACTGAATCTCGAAACTCACTTGGTATAGCATCAGGTTGGTAACCTGTCACAATCCAGATTGTCAACTGAACTTCACTCATCACCCAACATCAAGGACACCTGTCTGTCAAACTACACCTATTTCAAATATTCTCACTGATACAATACTAAAGCACTGAGTAAGTAGTCAACTGGATTTATATATAATTATCTCTCGGATTCATGTACAAAGTAATTTGGAGGTTTGTGTGGATTTATTGATTTCAGGTTGGTATTCATCACTTACAGACATCAGTTGGAAGAACATTGGAAGCCTGGAAGCACTGGACGGTTATTTCGTCCTAGTGTGGGACTCCTCAGCATTGCAGAACCATGACCCTACCCCACCAGAGAGCGAACCCAGAGCCTTCAGGTTTCGTAGCCACTATCACCTTAAGGTTCACCTTTCTCACATGCCTTTTCTCTATGCACATAAATTATCACTTCCTCTTTGTTTTTTACTTTAGCATAGGTTGCTTTCTCCATTTCAGTAACATCATCATTATTATTGTCATTTTTCTCTTTGCCATATCACTTTCTTCTCTTTTTAGCTTTAAAAATCCATATCAGTCAGCAAACATTTGATGTATTGAAGACATTTAAATCCTTCATTATGACTGAACGTGGTCTAGTTGAAATGAAGGTAACTATACAAATTTTATCTTTTATTTTAAATGTCATGTTGTTGTTGTTGTTGTTGATAATATGCTCAAATAAAAATGATCCTAATCTCCAATGTTCATGTTTTTTCTCTGATCTAAATGATTCATTACTAAGCGTCATACTGAATAATGCTTAGACTGCAATTTATTCCTCATAATCATACTGAAGAACTTTCATATTTATTTCAAGATGCTATTCATCTCGGATTGATATTAGTTGGAGAATCATTGGACAATTATTTCGCTCTAGTATGAGACTTCTTAGGAGTGAGTACTCACAATCTCTCTACAGAGGATGAAACAATTATCTAATACTTCATAGGTTTTCAATGATTCTCCAACTTATGTCATTCTGTAGTGAATATCACTTTTATATAAATAAATCCTTATAGACTTTTAAACTAAACTTTCTTATTGGTATCATATAGTGATAAAACCATCAACACAAGCTTCATCTTTAAGTCATTTCTTTATTTGATAAAGGGACTATATGTTGATGTAGATAACTTGTAGGCTAGTAGACAGTTGCATAGTTCTTTTTGATATTAGTATAAGAAGGTGAACGAAAATTGAATAGCACTATGAATTCAAACTTTTGTATTGTATTTTGTTCCCTTATGTTTCTTTTCTTTTCCTTCTTAAGTATATAGCGGAAAAGTTTCTTCCTCTGCCTCTTGTGGGGAGTGGGGGGGGGGGGACTGTAGCCTATTGGTGAACCAGTGGATCCATAAACTCGAATCCCGCTCCACTTACTAAGGTCTAGGAAACCAGTTAGTAGTATCATTAACTGTTATACAATAGGTGTTATGTTTCATTGTCTACTGCATGAATGTGTATGTGGTTACTGAGTAGATTTCGATTTCTTTCTATTTTGTTGAGATATTTTATTTTGATTCACCTGTTGAAAAGTGTATACAAGGTTGGTATTCAAATGAAGTATATTTTCTTGGCATCTACTATTCATCTTTCAAGTAAAATTCATGCATACATCAATTATCGCTGGGAAATAAGAGGGCTGTCTAACTGAATTATAGTTTATTTAGTGTAACTTTTGGGCATGGAACTAATAATAATAATAATAATAATAATAATAATAATAATAATAATAATAATAATAATGGTAACTGACCAACTGTCAGTCAAACAGATTCTTGTCCACACTAGATACCTTCCCTTATTTATTTTGCTTGTAAAGTGACTGATTTTTGGTTATCGTCTTCTCAGAACTCTGCTATAATACACTTTTGTATCAGATACTAAGATGTGGTCGGTTGGAACACTGTCTCTGCACGATACAGACATTACCAACAAGAGATATTTCTATCCTCACGACTAATACTGCTGACTACATATAGTTTGGGCCATTCTACCTATGTTAAAATAAAATTCATAAACAGATTGACTTGAAAACAATATATTTAATCTTGGAATATAAAAAAATTAGCTATTTCATTGAAAAAAAACAAAAAAGGATCATCAGTATCACCACAGGACAAGACATTACCGCTTAACGGTTCAACTTGTCACACATCATTTCAGCACATCAAGTAACAAAGCAGTTAGATGAACAGTTAAAAAATATGTAAAGAAGAATCGATGAAAACCAGAAGAAGGTAGTAATAAAGAGGAAGTGGGAAGGAGGAAGGAGGAATGAGAAAATCCTCAACTCAGTATAGTGAAGATAATGCGTGGATACCGATTCTGAGCCATATCGATTACAGTCTCCAACCACCACAACCACCACCACCACCATCACCACCGGTTTCTGTTATCACATGCACCTCAACCTACTAGTCTGCATCTCCGTACATAGCTCAGACGAACAGTCACAGACTCCATGCAGTGATGACATGTTCGAGTCTGGCTACCTCAAGCCCTTTTCCATCCTGAACCTACTTCAGCTAATATTGTGTATGACGAGGTAGATGGGTGACTAGACATGCGTGACACATTTGTCAACCATCTGACTCGATGAATGTTCACAACCACACCAACTGACTCTCCTCTTCTCTTCTCCCTAAAACGCTCACTCTACACCTGACTTCTACGTTACTCACAACACACTGTCTATGCTACAAAGGTGACGACGGTGGTCAAACACCTGAAATCTTCTTATTTCCTCTACTTTTAATGACCATTTTTCACAGTGATGTATTAGGATCGAGTGAAGTGCAACACAGTACACTTGATCCTTAATCGACAACTGGATATCACAGTGGTGTCATGAGTGGAGAAATTCAATGTAACTTTTAGTATTTGTGAAGAGATTTCGTCGTCCACTGACCCAACAGCCCTGATCCAACTTCCCAGGTTAGTGAAGTGTTCAGTGCACTCAACCACTACACTACCTATCATTATCCGAGGTGCCACTGAACAACAGTCCTGGAGAAACAATTTCCATTTGTGTGTTGATAAAGATGTGATAAAGGTGTCCGCAAGACTCTTCAACGTAAACAATGCTGAATAGTATTAATATAGGGAATACAGTACTCGGTTTCCACCATATTAAAGGTTCATAGAAAAGAAAGCAAGTGAAGTGCAGAAGAGGTCTACCTGATTGTGTGATGGTTTTAGATTAAACTGAGACGTAAATGAGGCATTAAAAAGATTATTGATCAGTTGCTAGTCAAATTGTCACTCATAATTATCTGACACTGTTATACAACTTTGATACTAGTTATTAGTTGCCAGTAAACTGTATCTATAGTGTTGATATTGGGCAGAGATGAAAATATGGTCTGTGACCGGATTCGAACCAGCGGCCACCGGATTTCCAGTCCGATGCCCTACCAACTGAGCTACGAGGTCTGACTGCTGACGAGATTTTTGTTTCACTTCAATTCGACGGTTATCCAAATTTTCATTTCACTGTCAATTATCACACAGTATCAACATTAGTCTGTCAAACCACGACTATCTCAGATAGTCAAAATGATAATGTATCTATAGTGTCTGTTTGTCAACGATATTATAGGAAACTGTGTCATTCACATTTAGCAAATATGCTGCTGAGAGTTAGCCGGGCAAAATTGAGTCGAAATCGAAATCCAGTCAACAATCTTGTGCACATGCGTGTTGTAGACAATGAACCACGCCTATTGGTGTAAGAGGTGCCGAAACCATCTCGGTAGGTGGAGCGGTGTTGGAACCCGTGACTCACTGGTTACAGGTCATCTCTTTAGAGCAATAAGTCACCACTGCACGTAATCATAAGGAGTTTTCTTTCAGATCTTAGTCATTTGTTACTGTTAGTGTAATAATTTGAAGTAGACGTTTGTCTTAGTCACTCACTTTCAAACCAAGTTATAGTAAATAATGACTTATATTACTGTCCTAAATATACCATTGGTGTTTCTTTACAGTAAACTCTAGTAATCGACTGGATTCATTACTTAAATATAATAATGTTGAAATTTTTGTATATTATCAAAATTTTAACTAATTTCTTAATCATATCATAGGGTAAAGGTCGTCAAAAAACATATTGGTTACATGGAGAAGATTGTTATATTGTTGATCCTATCCCAGCTGGTGCACAAATTATTGGCGGAGCATATGAAGGTGTAACTGGTCCAATTCCAGCCGGTGCATTAATGCAGAAAAGTACTGGTGGAGGTTTTACTCAATCTCCAGAACATTTATCTAATCCAAGGGCTACATCTCCACTTCATCCTCCTCTTGATGATAAACAGACTTCTGATTCTTCACTTAGACGCAAATCGCATAGTTCACCGGCATCACCAACACTTCCTCTAGATATGAAACTAGGCTCTGGTGATTTAAATAATCCAAGTTTATACGATAATGACATTCAACAAGAGTACAAGCAGCAACAGAAACTTCCTGCCACCCCTTCTCCTCTCCATCATCCCAGTCAGCCTAAATCTACTATAGGTTCTCATGAGAGAGTATCTGTATACACTACAGATCCTTTTCAAGTGAATAGTAAGGATACTGTTGATTTTGAACCAACAAATCCTAATAAACGGCGTGTTGGTGTGTTTCATTTAAATGAAAAGCCTATCTACAATGCTTCAGGTGGTAATTCTCAACAAATTGGTGAAAAAGTTTGACTGTACAATTTCATTTACACATATTATTCAATTTCTACCAGTTAACATACAAATACACATTCATACCATCTGTTTTGACAGAGAAAAGAGTAATACTTGAAAGAAGGCGAATACTTGGACAACATCTTAATCCACTTATTGTGTGTTACACATAAGTGTGTAAATGCTTTCAGCAAGGCATCAATAAGGTAGCACACACACACATACACATGGTCTAACTATCGCACATGAAGTTTCTTTCTCCCCTGTCATATTAGTATGGAGTTTGGCTCAAGAAAAAGCTTTTGATCTGATCTCACTGAAGAATACTGTGCCTCAATATGTTTCCACTCCATCCTATCCCACTTCATCTTCTCTAACATGAATAATATTTACACATACCCCGTATACATGTAAATTTCAGTATTTTTTATATCTCATAAGTGTGTTTTTGTATGTATGTACGTATTTGTACATTTGTGTGTGTATGCGTGTGGATGTGTAAATGTTTAGTATTACATAATTTAGTCTTGTTTGCCTGTATAAAAACTACCTATCAGGATATCTTATATATACATATTGTATAAAAGTGTGAATTATCAAACCAATAAATGTACAAGTCAGTTTTTCAAAAATTTTATTTCTTTCTTTGTTTTATAAATGTGATGGATGTAGACAAATATTTTGACTAGAAAATTATTTCTTTCCATAAAGTTTATGAAGGAGATTATGTAACTTTTCCTGGTGTTGTTGTCTTTCATTTCCATTCTTTGTTTGTATATATGTATGTATGTTTGCGTGTGTGCGCGTGTGTAAGTATGTGTGTGTGTATGTTTGATGTTTACTCTTTACTTGCTTCTCTTTTGGCATTCCTTTATAAACAGTTATGATTGTTGTTTTGCTTTATTGTTGCTCCCGCCATTATCGTTTCCGTTGAGATTCCACTGAGATTGTCTGTCACCGGTTCACTAAACAATCTTCAGCTCATTCCCATATCTTTTTATTATCATCAGAACAAACAACCAAGCACAATAAAACTTGACCATGAATATGTTTGTATATATACATATATGTTTTTTTTTGTGTATTGTTGAAACTGTTACTTCGTATCATGTCGGTAGACTTCAGGTGAAGTGTAATATAAATCAAGTCTTTTGATTTTTCATTACTGCTGATATGTGATAAGTATCTTCGTGAACACTACTTAACACTTACTGAACACATCATACAAAAAGGACGGGGGGGGGTGTTAAGCAGTGGGCGGACGCAATGAAGGAATCATTTCGGTTGAGGATGCCCTAGAAAAAGAAGTATTATCCTTACTTCACTATTCTCACATTCGTTTTGGTTTCTTCCTCCATCTTGTAAAACATCACTAGTCTCCTTGTATATGGAGTGTGAAATGTTTAATGATCATTATTATTATTACTACTATTATTAGATTTATTATATTTTGTATAGTAATATTCTCAGTAGTCTCTGTCTCAGCAGTGCTTTACACTAAATCCTTCATTCCCACTATAGAGATAGATGAATTGTCGGCTGTAAATTGCACTTGCTTAAATGTTTGTTTTTTTATTCATTCTGCGTTTATTTCTCTTTTTTCTACAGCCTTAGGTGAAGTGCTATCGTCATCGTCATAATTATCATCGTTTTTAAGAAATTTTTTTATCTTCTTCTTGTTCAAATACCTACTCATCATAAATGAAAAGATTTTTTTAGTCACTGTGTATATGTGTACGTTATCGGCTATGTTAGTGCAAGTCTCTTCTCTTTATGAATGATTTTGTCTCTTTTCAAAAGTGTTTCATTAATTACAACCTTTGATTACAAAATGCAATTTCAAATAAGTTCAATTTGTTGATAGAAGGAATGTTACTGATCTTTGCTTCATTTTTCTTTTATTCTTATAACGTTTTGTCTCATTGTTACCTAATTTCCTTAAAATTATTTTGTACATTTCACTTTGTCTATTTCTACATATCTTTGTCCATATATTTTGTTTGCTTTCTATTGGTTCATTCAAATGTGTACCTATGCGTGGGTGTGTGTGTATGAGCATTTGTTTGCAGGTATGTACGCATGCACTTGAGGTTTCCCATTTGCATGTGTCTGTGTGGATATGTACCTGAAATAGTCACTTCGTTCATCTTATTCACAATGTATTAGAAAAAATAAAACAAATGTCGATTTTTCTTTTAAAAATAATCTCATCTTTTCTCTTTTACTGGATCGATTTTTTTTATCAATTGATTTTCTTCCCTCTTCTCTTTACCCTCATTAACATTTTCACCCTTGATATATGTACACTTTTTGTTGTTACACAGTATGTACAATATGTACATGTTTATTTGTTTGGTTGTTTGTTGTGTACGTGTATGTGTGTATTTTGTGTCTTAATGCGAGAAACCAAATGGAACAATGGAACACATGTCGTGAATATCCTCAAATGACGCTTAGAACATAGAGAATAATAATAAAAATACCAGTTACAACACCAGAGGAATTAAGGAGAGTTCGTGAAAACACAATCTAACTGTGTTTTCATATGGTTCAACAGATATGTACATTTACAGAAATATATATTTTAACTGAGAATTTCATACATGTCATTTTTATCATTACTTACTGTTATCATCAACAATTGGATTGAATGAAGAAAATAATAGTCTATATTTCGTGTTGCTAACTTGTCTTCTGGTCATCACTATTAGGGTGATTCTATAATATCAAAAGTGGTTGTGGTTAGAAAGGGAAAAAATAACCACCGAGACATAACCTTAACAGTCCTCGGAAAGTTTACGGCGAACATCAAACTACTTACGAGTAGCATAAAGTTGTCGACTAAAATATAGACCTCGTATGACTGAACTGCTGCATCAATTTGAATTAAAAATGCCGTTTACAGAAAAAAATGGAGAAGTGTGAGGAGTTACGGTGAATTGCGTTTAATGGAAATTACCTTGGGACTCTAGAAACCTGAAACACTTCACTATAGGGTAATTCATATAGGGAGTTTACCTCAACACTACTGCAATTTTGAAAATAGGAAACACGTCATTATTTTAAACTAGGAAATTAAATTTTCTCGCCTCAATACTACCGGATATTCCTCATGTTCCATTTGTCTTGGTGACAAATAGTGGAATCCTCGACGTGCGTTTCGTCCTGTTTGGTAATTGTCAGCTGGATGTACCTACATCCCAATAACTGATGTTATTCCCACCAAGACTTGAATCCAGTACCTTATCGCTTCAAACGCTAAATTACAAGTATCAAGGCAACAACTGATACTCTTTGTACAAGAGGTGGCTGTCGTACTCCAGTGGCCTAGTACATATCGCTCTGGAATTTGAAGCGATTAGTCCTAGGTTTGAGTCCTAGTGAGAAAAATATCACTCACTGGGGTGCAGGTACATCCAACTGACGAGTCCCAAGTAGAAAGAAACGCACATCCTGGATTCCTCTGCTAACCACAACCAAGTAAATCACCATAATAAATATTCAGGTAATATCTAGGCATCCGTATAGGAGCCTATATGGCAATACTAATTAAAAGAAAGGTGATGGAAGAGTGGAAAATTTGACTTTTCTGTTGGAGGAATGTATCAAAAAAAATCGTAGTCAATATATCCTGTTATTTTAATGGATAAGTGGATTATGCCTTGGAATGGAGTTGACTGAGTTTTTTCTGGAGACATACGACACTTTCCCGTTGAAACGCTAGATTGCTTAGTTCAAGGAATAGAGAAAAAAAGAGACAATTTAGCAAAGAAAGTTTTCCCCAATAATATCGTTTTCTAAGACTATATATACTTTAGTATTCATTACATCATAAACACAACAGTCTGTTTATTGAACAATAGGGCCTAGTTGCATCATTTGGCAAGCTGGTGTCTAGAACTAAAATCAATACTCCAAAGAAGTTACTTAGTAATCCCTTAGACAATGTAAATAACGAGAAAGGTGAAGAGTTTGAGAAGCTAAAAATCGTTGGTAGACGGAAATTGCGATGGTTGAGTGTCCACTTGATAGATGTAAGAAGTTGAGAAGAAAGAAAAGTCATAATGAAGGTGATAATAGCAGACTAATGAGTTGCAGTGAGGTCGAAAAAGTAAAGGGGAGATAATGTGGACCATAGTAACATAAGAGATCAAGCCTGAAAAGTGAATCGCCAGTACTTCTGCCACGCATAACGTTGAAAGCGTACTTGTTTTAAAATTTCCCCTTTGCCTTTGTAAGTAACACTGACTCTGGTGAAGTTATATGCTCACATGTAACCAAATGCTTAAGACTGAACTGTTAATTGATTTACATTCTTCCCTCAACAACCATGCAAGATGGTACCCAGAGATACGTTTGGGAAGTGCACGCTTTGTGAAACCTTTATAACTAGCTCCATATGATGAAGTTAGTTTGCAGACCCTACTGCAGTGTCAGTTTGTCCTTAACGCACCTGGGAACTGATGCGATGACAGGAGCTGATTTGTAGCTTCGAGGAAAAGTGTTTTTCTTCAGCGACTCAGGCAGCTGTTTTCAACAATCTGCCGCCGTATCACCTTTGAAATCAATATTCATAATAAGTCTTCTTTGGAGCTGTTAGTACTCCTCCCTATTCTGTTTGCTCAACTTCGGGTAGATCGAATACTGTATGAGTTCTCAATCACAGATTGAACATAAATTCAGTCAATCGTGATTTAATTTTATCGATAATATTCAGTATGTAGCGCTTCAAAGAACGATGATTTGGACAAATATGATTTCGAAGCAAACTTTTCGAATACTACTTCAGATATTCGCATTTATTTACACAGCTTTTGAAGAAACTTATTGAAAGAAGTCAATTTAATACTGTATAGTGAAGTAGGGAAAAGAGAACTGACCAAACATATCATCACTTTATTATGACACTTGTAATTTCCCGTTGATATACAGGGCCGAACTGTTGCAAGATACGCTCCTATGCGGATGCCTCGATACTACCAGATATTTATGATATTATATTGATCTTGGTAACTAGCAGAGGAATTCAGGATGCTCATCTCGTCCTATTGGAGACCCATTAGTCAGCTGGATGTACCTCGACTCCAGTGACTGATGTTGTTCTCGCTAGGATTCAAAACCAGTACCCATCGCTTCAAACGTCAAAGCGTTATCCACTGAAACAATGGGACACGATAGGCACCTCTTGTGTAACCAGTATCAGTTGTTGTTTGATACTTGTAATTCCCCTTGAGTGTACAGGGCCAAACTGCTCGACTTGTGTTCCTATGTGGATGGCTTGGTACATCTAGCTGACGGGTACCAAATTGAACGAAACGCGCGTCCTAGACTCCTGTGGTAGTCATCAAGTTCAACATGATATCATCACTTTGCTCCTTATGTAGTGTCAGAGATAATACAGTTGCATAGGAAGTATAAAAAATCTACTCATTCTACATTGTTACTGCTTTGATGTAAACACTCATTAGATCTGAAGCTTTAAGAAAGGAATTAACTTTCTCGACAACAGTTGTACTTGTGTACTTGTAAACCAGCTAAATCTCAGAATGATTTTCTGTAATTTAGTCGATTTTTTTAAAAACTATGTTTTCTCCTCTCGGCTTACTCGATGAGATTTACGCAGGGGGTAGATTTTGCTATTAATTAAGAGAGACAAGCATATAATAATGAGGTCAAACGAATTCTTGTTTTCTCATTTACTGAGCAGTTATTTGCCTTCTGCCAAAGTCTACCGTATAGGAATAGATACGTGTAGCTGACACTAGCTATATCTTTGGTCCAAATCTGATTCAGTTGAACTAGATTTCCCCTTGAATAAAACACCTACCGAATATATTGTTACTTCAGGATGGGATCATTCAAGAAAGTATACGAAGCGAGAAGAGGGGCATACGCAGTTTGATCGATGAAAAGACCCTAGAAGATTTGGATTTTGCCGATGATGATTTGTGTCTAATATCGCACAAACTCGAAGATCTACAGGTAAAAACTAACAAGTTGACAGAAGAGGCAGGGCAGCGAAAACGGGACTTCAATCGAATGTAGAGAAGAGAGAGTTGATCAAGATACACAAACAACAACAAGCACCAGTCACCGTCAGCGGGAAAAACCTAAAGAAAATAGTCTCTTTCACCTACCTAGGCAGGCAGCATCGTTTCAACGACGGGTGACACAGATGAGGATGTCAAAACCAGGATCGGAAAATCAAGATAGGCTTTCAATAATCTGAAATCAGTGTGAAGATCTACTGCACTACACACCACTCAGCACGAAGCGTGAACAACATCTGGATTTTCAACACTAATGTCAGTCAAGTCAGTGCTTCCAAGTGATGGTTAGGGGACTTGGCAGCGCGTCACGAAAAGCACTTCCAACAAACTACAGACATTCATCAACAGCTGCCGCCTACGCTCACTCGATACTGAAGATCGATCAAACGGCCACAATAATAAAAATAAGCAACATGGAACTCATGGTAGCCGGCGACGAACCAACCAACCAAGAAGCTATCGCCCAACAAATATGCAGCAGAAGAAAGTAGAGATGGACTGGATTAGATCTACACTGAGAAGACGGTTTGTGGACATCACGCACCACGCCAGACCGTCGAGTGGAACCCAAATGGGAAGCAATTAGTTGGGTGTTCCGGCGAGGGTGACATAGAGGAGATGGTGTGAGGAAGAAATGAAAGCTTGCGGGCAGTCATGGCGCTAGGTGAAGAAGACTGCAGAGAAGATGGTGAAATGGCGACGTGCTACTGAAGCCCTATTTTCCACCAAGAGCCTAAAAGACAAATAATAATAATAATTTCTGTCTTGTGAGTGGTATCTGTACTCCGCATAAAACTGTACTGACATAACTTGAAGGTGAGAATGATGAGTTTCTAATCATATCTGTCTGTTAAAATAACGTTATTCATGCAAACGTTTGACTAAACTCAAATTGTTGTAAACCTGATTCGTGCGTTATACTTATTCTATACTTTTCCCAAGGAAACATTCCATCGATGAGTGCAAACAGTTTTACATAATCCAACCAAATAATGATAGATAGTGGCTAGCAATGGAATCCAGGATGAACGTTTCGTCCTATTTAGGACTCGTCAACTGGATGTACATGCATTCCAGTGAGTGATGTTGTTACCACCGGGGTTCAGACTCCAGAGCGATCGCTTCAAACGCCAGAGCGTTATCCACTACACCACCTAGCCACGATAGCCACTTGTTGTGCGACGGGTATAGTTTTTAGTATTATCGCTTGCATTATACTATCGTTGATTGGACCAAATTGATCGATCACTTCTAGCTTTTGGGCTCCTGTGCGGCTCCGAGTCCGAATGGCGATGGGAAAAACATCACTCACTGGGAAGCTGGTACATCCAGCTGACGAGTCCCAGATAGGAAGAAATGAGCATTCTGGATCCCACTGCCAGCCACTATCCATCATTACTATAATTAGAACACAGGTAATATCAAGACATCCGCACATGAGTCCATATGCTAGTAGAGATGGATCAATTCGGTCCAATCAACGAGGATATAACACAAGCAATTATACTAATCAACCAAGTGGTAGAAATTTTGATAGATCAGTTACACGAAAGAAACAAGTATGGATTGCTTTCATTCATCATCAGTGATTAGCTGTTGTCATATATCTCAGGAAATTTCTCGTTGATTTATTGACTATAAAACTTTACTAATCATTGTTATTAACGATACACTTTGGCATAATTAAAAATGGTTACAATAAACCACCTGATCTAAATATTCTACCCTTTCTTTTCTACCTTTCAAGGACTTTAAGTGTTAAAAAAATCAATAAATACTGCATAAAATGGAACAGAAAAATTAAGTGCACTGAATAACTTTTGTTAACGATATTCATTAAAAAAACTATTTTATTATATATTCATCGTTGAACAGTTGTGGTACACGCGTTGTTCAAAAGAAAAACTTGGAGGGAAAAAAAGAGAGGCTTTCATCCTTCAATGCATCTAAATCACCCCAGTATTGATAGGAATATAAATCATCCTATATGGCTTGATAATCAGAAATGCACAAATTACACTTCCACTTCTAGGATGAAGTAAGTGGACTTGTAGATACTGTTTCCATAACTTTTTTAAATGAATTACTTGAAAGTTGAAAATGATACTATTTACTTTAGAAGTAGTATTCATCATGGACTGACATCAGTTGGGGAACCATTGAAAATCTGGGAGTACTGGACAGCCGGCTAGGAATCAATCTTAGAACCTTCAGGTTTCACGACGAACGCGTTGACCATTCAACCACTGGGTCGGTTTCCAGTGGTTCAAAATTTCCAACTTCTGTCAATTCATGACATAGCGTGACTGTCACCCAAGGTCTTCAGCTGGTATCCGCTTCACCTCCGACTGGTTGACCCCAAAGGTCACAGCTTCTCATTAGAGCTTCATGATATCCACCTGGAAGCAAGTCACTAATGAGCACTATACAGTAACGTATTTTTGAGATGATGTCAGTCCATGATGAATACTACTTCTAAATTAAAAAATTCCTATTCATCTCAAAAATATAATTTGTCTGTTATTAAATTGTCAAGTTAACCAGTATCTAGAAGAAAACTAGTTTACCGACCACGAAACGAGTTATAATCAGCTGATTCTCTTCAATACCTCTTGCTGAAAATAGCTTTTTCCCCTATGTACACAGTCGTCCGTTGGTTGATCAGCTTAAGTTGCTTACTAAAGATTTAGCTGATGATTTTCAATTGATTGTCACTGATCATTATTTGTACAGTCTTACTGGTTAAGTGCCAACCTTGATCGGTAAAGTATAAGGGTACAACTTATTACAATCTTTGTAGATGCATGGGTTTGTAATCAGTTGGTAAGAAGATTTTCTTAGTAAATTTTTTTTCTCCACCTTTAGTGAACCATATGTATGCAGATTAGTTTAGATAAGCATAATAAACTTTTATCAAAACAGTGTTTATGCTTCTGAGATTTATTGTGACTAGTCGAAATCACCGATGAGGAAGTTACTCAGGTATCAACAAGTATTACACAGATATGTTGGTCGATTTACACGAATTTACGGAAGATACATTTGCAAAACGTTTTATTCTACAACGTCAAAAAGGATTTATAATAACTCATTGTGCTTGGCATCAAATTATTTCTTAGACACCGAATTCATTTTTGAGATGAATGGGGATTTTTTAATTTAAAAGTAGTATTCATCATGGACTGACATCAGTTGGGGAATCATTGGAAATCTGGGAGCACTGGACAGCTGTTTCGTCCTAGTATGGGACTCCTCAGCAGTAAGCATCTACGACCCGGCTAGGGTTCGAACTCAGGGCCTTGTCGTGAATTGACAGAAGTTGGAAATTGTGAACCACTGGGAACCGACCCAGTGACTGAGTGATTATCGCGTTCGCAGTGAAACCTGAGTTTGATCCCTAGCCGGGTTGTGGGTGGGTACTGCTGAGGAGTCCCATACTAGACGAAACAGCTGTCCAGTGCTCCCCGATTTTCAATGATTTCCTAACTGATGTCAGTCCATGATGAATACTACTTCTAAACCAAATTCATTCTTATTACATGTGTTAGGTGTTAATTTGATGAACAAAGATTCAGTAATCAATCTCTCTCTCTCCACCTAATTATATTGAACTTATACCACCCTATTGTATTGTTTTTTTAAACGTGTGTATTGCAACAGATGAATTTTTTTCTAGATTTCTGACCTCATTGGTTTTCTCGTTCCATATGCAGCTAAATTCCTATTTACTGATAATCTAATCGACTCCGACCGGCTACTTTGACCTATGTACTTGACCTCACAAACATTGTATGGAATTTGATAGATTAGATTATTTTACTTAGTTGCTTCAATCGGATCCTTAAGCCGACGAAGTTTATTTCTGAGTGAGTTTGTAGGTTTACGTAGGATCCTAAACAAGGCTGAAATTAGGGTGGCATTTAAACCTTCAAATTCACTCAAAGATAAGCTTTGTCGGTTTAAAGACTTGATAAACCAATTAAGCAAAATAATCTAATCTATCAAATTCCATATAATGATCGCGAGGTCAAGTACATGGGTCAAACTAGCCGTCGAATCAGTTATATTAGCGGAACATAGGAATTTAGCTAGATGTAGGATGACAGACCCCAATAAGATCAGTAATCTAGAGGAGACTCGGCTATTACAATGCATGCATTAACACACAACAACATAATAGGGTAGGATAAAAACATTCTACTTTATTTGGAGGGGATTTCAAGTTGGTATTCGTCATGGACTAACATCAGTTGGAGGAACATTGGAAATATGGGAGCACTGGACAGCTGTTTTGAATTTTATGCCCATCGGAAGTCATCAGTAAGAGGCTTCCAGAGTATCTAATTCAAAGAAAGCAGCTCGTGCTACTATACAGAGAGGTTTGAGAGTTTGTTGTAGAGAAATATGAATAGTGAAAAACTCTAACAGCACAAGGATAATAAGGGTCAAATAATTGTAAGATAGATTGACTATTTCAAACGAAATAACGGCAAATTATAGAAGTAAACTGTCTAACTTATTTAATCTTCAAGTTCACAGTTCTATCTATTCATGCTTTAGCGTAACTGACCAGTGCATAGACATATTTTTGGGTACTCACTATGAAATCGTGACTACTGAGGCAAAAATAGCCACTTCCATGTGGAAGTGGCATACACGGAACTATGAGATGGGTTGTATTTCATCTTCACTTGACCAACCTCATGCTTGTTATGGTGTGTAGTTGACAGCAGTGGAACCCAAGACGCGTGTTTCGTCCTATTTGGGACTCGTCAGCTGGATGTACCTGCCTTTCAATGAGTGATATCGTTCCCACCGACACTCGAACCTTGTACTCATCGTTTTAAAAGGCAAAGCGTCATCCACTAGATTACTGTGGTACGACAGATACTTCTTGCGTGACGGGTATAGTTTTGATGTTGTTAATTGTAGTATCCCTCCGCTGACTGGTCACAGTGGTCGGTCTCTACTGGCATATGGGCTCCTGCACTGATGCCACGATATTGTCTGCCGTTTTAACTTTGCAGTAACGTTGAATGGGATAGGAAGAAAAACGCATCCTAGATTCCACTCCTGACCACCATCCATTATTAACCTAAAATTGAAACGATAGGCAAACTGAGTCATCGGTGCAGGAGCCCATATACCAACAGAGACTGACCAGTTCGGTGTAATTAACGATGCGATCACAGAAAATCCATCGGTGATTAGTAAGCTCATATACTGTCCACAAAACCTGAGGATTTTGATGTATATATATATATATATATATATATATATATATATATATATATATATATATATATATACTGCGGAGTTGCTTCCGTAATTCATAATTTCGAACTCATTTTCATATGATATCGATTAGTACAAAAAAACAACCTTATTTGGTGATTTCACCTCTATCTGATTCGAACCAGTTGACCATAGGTTTATATATTGTTATCGACTGAAAAAAGGTAAAGTCAAAAACAGATAACAAGCAGTTCAGATGTCTAAAATGGGTTATGAAATCATTCTAAGTTAAGGTATCCGAAGTTAAATATACGGTTAGTAAAACGCTTCCTGTCAAAAATGCATCAATTCCTGCTAACACCTGGCTAATAAAGTTTCATGAGCATTTAGGCTTAAATAATCCCGTTGACTCAAATATTGAAATACTGAACGATTTTTCACTTCCCAATCGCTACAGCATGTTTGTTAAGTATACAGTAACAGTATAGTTAGTTCTATGTGACAACTAATACCTAGACTAATGAATATTTACTTCATGCTACACAGAAATAACCATCTTCGGCGTAGGTTTCTTGCCGTTCACAAAGACTATTTTAGAAATAGTGAGGAATAGTTGTAGCCCAGGCGGATGGTCTTGGTTGTATTATGTTCTCTAAGGTGGGTTGTTCAATCGCGAAGATTTCATCGTCCTTCTACACGACATCATCTGCTGCACTAACTTCACTATAAAGTGACCTGTCATTATCTCTCCATGAGTCATTTAGTAGCTTGCCTTGATGAAGTGGTCAATGATTGGTTGTTTCCTTTGATTGTTATCTCATTGACTGACTGCTTGGATTTTCGTGTTGGCTGTTCCTCTCCTTCACCTCTGACCTTTCTGTTGTTTATCATCTCTCTTATTGGTTGATAGATTGGGTCTATGTCTATACATCTGTTGATTGCTGACTGACTGACTGACTGACTGAGTGACTGAGTGACCTGAATGCCAAGCTTCTAGGAATTCTCTGATATGCTTTGTGTTTCCTCTCTCCGTTCAAAATTTCTACATTGTCAGAGTTGAATTCATGTCCATGGTTGTTATGTACATGCATTGAAATGAGTGATGAAATGTCATGTGTGACGTTTAATAGTCAATTGGTGTTCGTGTAGACGAAGGCGAAGAGGATGACCACTTTGTCCATCCAATGTAGTGTTGACTAGAGTTAATGCAGTTGATTTAGTAAATGCTGTTTGGTTTGTCTTCTTTTGATGTTGTATGCTTTGGTGTGCATAGTAGTGTTTGTAGCGAATTTGTTGTTTTATGAACCACACCAATTCCAAGTGGTGCTGATGATGTCATCCAGAAAGACGATGAAAGCATCATGATTAAACAATCCAGCTCAGAGAACATAATACAACCAAGATACTATTTTAAGATTAGAGAAAGTGTGAATTCCATAGTGGATATGTTAATTTGACAAAGTATATTAAAATAAGTAGCATTATCACTCTTCAAGACATCTAAGAGGAGAGAAAATGTGCATTAAATTTCTTCAATGCTTGAAAATACCGATAGATGTCCACATTTCGCTTTAATGTTTTAATTTTGGAAGACGTCAGAGAAGGGCTTTGCATGTGTAAATCTATTCGTAGGTGCATGAACAAATTAGAGTTAGTAACTCAGATTGTCGGTATGAATTCCTAGAGGCAGAAAGAAGCCTAAGCCTGGTAACGCTTGTTGCATTTGGATTTGAATTGTATTTTTATGAAAATGCAAATCCTTTAGAGATGTTAAGGCTTAATTTAATTCCCATTTTACCCTGTTTAC